GCCTTTTGTTCCCCTTCGCTCCCCCCCCCCCCCCCCCCCTTTCTTAAATATGTTATCCCAGAAGCGCTACTACCATCACTGATGGGCTCAGCCTTGGCCAGCAGCAGGTCTTGGAGCCAGCTGGCATTGGCTCTATCAGACATAGGGGAAGCTTCTAGCAGCTTCTCACAGAAGCCAGCCCTGTAGCCCCCCATTACCGAAACCTTGCCATGCAAAACCGACACTGTTCTTCATAACATATAAAATAATGCAAAATTCAATTTTTAACAAACAAAAGGAAGTGTTTTTCCACACAACATGCAAGTAATTTCTGGAATTCTTTGCCAAAGGATATTTTGATTGTCAAAAATATTTAGGGCATAAAAAAAGTCTAAAAATTAATGGATGATAGGTACACCATGGCCACTAAACACAGAGACACAGGTATAGCTATTTCCTGGGAAGATTTTGAGCTCAGATATTTCAAGAAGTGCAATGATTTCCAGTTTGCATTTCCACTTCTGGCTGTTGTTTCAGGCAGCTTACTGGACCTGAGGACCATAATGGACCAGACCATTATAGTCATTCTTACATACTGCCAAATAAAAATATAAATAATAAATTGGTTTCAGCATCCCCTACCAGCAGATATGTTGTTGATACTTTGAGCACAATAATATGTTATGGAAAAAGTGTCCCCTCATTGCTGGATAAACATGCCACAACCTGCATTAACAGTGTTGAAGACCTTGTGTGTGGGCTGTGAGGTTCACTCTCACTGCTTATCACCTCTCTCTATGTTCTTTACTTTGTATATGGATGAATGGCTAGCAAGAAGGATGGTATCTGTGCGGCTCTTTAGTCCAGACCCTTAATTAAAGCTCTTTCCTTTATAGGCTCTGGTTTTTTGATTGAATTACTGTATTATATTCTATTAACACCCCTAATGGTAACAAAAAACAAAAAGCAAAAATTAAGTCTGAAGTGTTAATGGATGAATGTATGCATCTTCATTTGCTAACCGGCATTCCCAGTTCAAGCTAAGCTGTCCTACAGTTCACTGTGTGGCTCCCAACACCAAAAGACTGCAGGCACCTCCCAAAAAATACATCTAGTAGCTCCGTCCAGCTGTTCTGCATACCCAGGGTCATCTCAAATAGCACTAGGCACCTGTGGTTGGGCAGGTCATGCAATAAAAAGTCCCTGCATAAAAGGCAGCTGATTCAGAGTAAACAGCAAGACAGAAGAGGCTTCAGGAAGTCCAAATGGAAGCCAAATCATCCTAGGTAAAGAGTCTGTCCTATAGTCTTCAGAATGGCTTTCAGGCTTGCATTTATTCAGGCTCCTTCATTGATCACGGGTATCCTGAGAGGGAAAAGATCCAGGATATCACTTCAACATCTTTGGAAAATATGACGTCTGAGCTATTTCCTGTCAGATGTAGCACTGGATAGAATAATTCATGTGTTCCCCACATCCAGCCTTAGCTATTGTGGTGGCTGTGGAACATCTGAATATGTGAGGAAGCTCCAGATGCAATTTAAGTATATGAAAATACATGGTTCCACAAGCTGTGCTGGCTCTCTGCCCATGCTGTATTCAAATTCCTGCATTGGATTTTGATATTGCAAGGGTTATAACTTGTTTGACCACAGCCTAGCTGGCTGGTAGTCTTTGCCTCCAGCCCTACACCAGTTCTGTTTGAGACATGCCATAGAATTAACAGGCAGAAACCTGAACCTTGCTATAAAGGCTGAAATTTCATTGGAGCCAGCCAATAGCAATGAGATTGCTATACTGGAAAACTGTTTTTTCTATAGAAAACACCAAAACTTTCTCTTCCTCTTTAAAATTATAATTTCCTGGGAGGCTGCTTTTAGTAAAACAAGAAATTTGTACACGTGTGAAGACAAAATTTTGAGGAAAGGAGGACAAAAAGATGGCAGAACAGCTACAATGGCTACTTATGCAGATGTATCCAAAATAGCTTTAAATGGCCTAGCTCTTTTCCATACCTCTCAGTAAGTACAAAAGAGGCTTCAGGAGCTTCACAAGCTTTGCCAGTACCCTGACTACTATTTAACAGGTGAAAAAGCAGGATCAGACCTTACAGTGTAGGTATTTTAGCTGGCTAAGTTAACCTAGCTCAGATCTGTGTAAAAGAGAGAAAGTCTCAACTTTCAAGTGAGGTTGAACACACGAGTGAAGAGCTTTACACCTGCTTATGTCATGGGACTTACTAACTTTATTTCAGCTAAACTAATTCAAGCAAAAAATATATATAATATGATTTCTAGAACAAGTTCTTTCATATTTTTTTCCATAAACACTGTGTGCTAGAAGACCCTATCCGAAGTCCTATAGACATCAATGAGTTTTTATTCTGTGGAAGAGAGAATGAGTCTTCAGATTGGAAATGTGTGAAGACTGTGTACCCAGTTTTCTTACACAATCAAATGAAAAAAAAACCCACCACATTTCCTAAAGTTACCAAGTCTAAAGAATAAGACAATATTAAGGCATAAGCAAATTCTGAGGAAAACTAACACAATGTTGTTCAGGGATTTTGAAGGTGATGTGTCTAGCCAACAGCTAACTCTGTAGGATTGAAAAGAAAATGTAATTTACTAGAAAAATGTGAAGTGATAATCTGACAAAGACATTTAAAATAACAAATCAGATACTTACAAATCCATACTCCAAGTCCCAGCACCAGCAGTAATTGAAAAACCTAACGAAGACGGCTCTCAAGAAATCGCCAATTAGAATTGTGATGTATGTTGTCATCGTGTCAGAGACTGTCAGCCGCACAAATTCCTGTTAGAGCAATATTTTATTTTAAGAATATATTTAAGCAATTAATAATTACAATAATAATTAAATACTGGACTAGATCCCTAATTGTACTTACCCTGCTTCAACCTGGAAGACTCCGCTCTACCTTTACATTCACTGATTCTGAAAAATGCCAGGAGAAAAACTGCCCCTCGTTTACTACAGGTATCCTTTGTTCTAATTCATGCTTATATTACCAGATGTGTCTTCCAGGGTATGATTAGATTAGGAAAGGCTTCCAGCCAAGATTGCTGCTGTGACAGAAATCTGAGCTGGTATCTTAAATTGCTTTTGATCCCTTTGACTTCGGGAAGATTAAAAAAAAAAAAAAAAGTGAATGGCTTGCTTTCTCAAGGAGCACTACCTCTTAGTGAATAAGGAGAAGAAAGAAGAAAATCCTAATGGAAATCCTCACTCCTCTACTTTTATTTTAGTAAGTCCCACTAAACCCTACTGTAACAGGCCTTACCGCAATAGCCCAAAAGGATATTATTCTCCATGATCTGAAATTAAGGAGAAAAAGTGCAGGGATGAGCTCTTGGTGTTCTTAGCTTATTACTCAGCATCAGTGAAAAGAATAGAGGGGCTGGTTTTCCTGCCTGTCTGCTCCCTGCTAGTGATTTATTCAGTCAGGAGGTGAGATTGTCAGAGTGATAGATCAACAACAAAAGTTGTGATTAAGTGGTGAGTTCATTCTCACACACAAAACAACAACAATGGGGTATGATCAAATAGACAAAAGGGGGATGCTAGAAAATTCTTTGAAAATTATATTTTAAATTAATAATTAAATAAGAATAAAAGTTCAACTGAATAAAATAAAATGACAGAGCAGCTTTACCATTAAATCACTATTGTTCTTTTGCATTACATTATTTGGCTAAAGATAGAGATGCCTTCTCAAAAGCACGCTGCTGTAAATGTTACCTTACATGTATTTCATTGTTGAGCTACCTTTTTTTATCTTTTCTATAGGTCTGTTGTAGTCAGAAACTGATATTGCCTGATCAAAATTCTAATTGGAATTACCACTTTTATTAGGGATTGTGACAAATCCAACTTTTCAAAATTGCTAAACAGGTTTTGCAAGACAAAGATGGGATGAGGAAGAGGAAGGTAAATGAAGAGAATAGTGAAAAGGAGGGGGAAAAAGAGAAATGCTTTCAATGCTGTCAGCTACCAGGAGAAAGAATTCCCTACTAGACAGCGTCCAAAGAAACTCAAATAATTTTTTCTCAGGAAAAAGTCCCACATCTGCTTTTCCTCACATTTTGCCACCTTAATGCCACTTATTAGCAGAAATAAAGAGGGTTTAGATATCATATCTTGTAACAGAGTATGAACTATTTTCAAATATGAGCTCAAAGCAGTTACATTACCTGTCCTACCATGGTTTCCCAGCACGGCCCTCTGGGGACTTCTGCAGGGTCCACCTGTATTGGAGGAGCAGTCGAATTTTCTGGAATAGTACCATTGTACAGACTGGCTTCCCATATTGACATGTTATACTTGACTATCTTTTCTTCTTCCAACTAAATAAGGAAATAAATTGGGAAAAAAACCCAGCATGAGCTTGTTACAATCTCTCAGCCTTCTGTAGTCCAAGAATCCCATTACCAGCTCAAGCATGGACGTGAATTACAGTACGGAAAGAAAAAAACATCTTTCGCTGACATATCTGTGACTGGCTGGAAATCCTCATCCTTGCCCAGCTACATGTTAAAAATAGTGAAGGGAATTAAATAGCTTGCCTTGAGATTGATTTCATCCATTAAGGCGATAATGAAAGTGTAGAGATTGCCAAGAAAAAGAGCAAAGATTCGTCCCAGCTGCCATCTTAGAGCTATTCGAGGATGGTAGTTTTCCAGAGAACTGATTACATCAAATAAAGTTGGGCAGAACATTCCTAAAAGTGACATAACCATGTTCACCTGAGAGGGGGAAAAGAAAAAAAAAAGTTTACAGTGAAACATTAGAAGCAAGTTCTTTTATTATTTGTTATTTGGGTGGAGACTGTATTTTCATTACTACTTTCTATTTGGATTTTGGGTTTTTTTTTTTTATGAAAACCAAAATCCAAATCTGGGAGTCACACGTTGTTTTCACAAAGGAAGGAAGGGATGGAAAGTAAGTGGTAGTCTACTGCAGATGGATATGAGAGATCTTTTTTTCATTTCACTTAAACCTCTGAAATAATCAAATGTTAGTTATTCTGACTAGAACCTACATTTTAACCAAATGCTATTACCAGAGAGTACCAGAGAACTTAGCAAACCCTATTTCCAGTACTGTTTTATATTATGTCTCTACCACATCTTCCCAACAGACACACAGATGTTCTATAAAAAGCATTCCTACAAAAATACTGCACTAAATTAAATTTATCTGCAATTTTACCTGAAATTAATTCTAGATGTCACAAAATCATAGAATCACAGAATACCTCAAGTTGGAAAGAACCCATAAGGATCATCGAGTCCAACTCCTTGCTCCTTGCAGGACTACCTAAAACTAAACCATATGACTAAGAACATCATCCAGACACTTCTTGAAATCTGACAGGCTTGGTGCTGTGACCACTTCCCTGGGGAGCTTGTTCCAGTGACCAACCACCCTCTCAGTGAAGAACCTTTTCCCAATGTCCAGTCTGAACTTCCCCTAATGCGGCTTCATTCCACTTCCTCGTGTCCTATTGCTGGTCACCAAAGAGAGGAGATCAGCACCTTCCCCTCTGCTGCCCGCCTTGAGGGGCAAATGTGTGCATAAGAGGAGATGTCCTGGGTGACACCAAAGGTTGGCCTAGCCCAACAGATGCCCAGGGATGAGTAACAACATGGCAAACATATATGAATAATAAGTCCTAGACTCCAACTATATTCAGTTTGGGTACTTGTTCAGTCAGGTGTGGTTTTTATGTATTTACTAACCCCCAGAGAATTTCTCTTTCATTCGTTAGATCGGTCTTCCTTCAGACGGATGTAAATTTTGGCATTCGTAGCATTGGCACCCACCATCTACCATCCTTACCTTTTGCTTTTTCTGAACCTGGCTTCTGCTCAATTTATTTGATGTCCCTTAGTTCTCATACTGGAAGACATAGTGAATATGTATTTTGGAAGAAAATGTTTGTCCTTTGGGCAGTTTTAAATATAGTACCTGCTAACTTCATTTGAAAGTTTCCTTATTGCTGCGTGGGAGAGGCAGGACAGGAGTCACTGCTTTTCTTTCTCTTGAACTTTCAATATTTTCCATATTTTTATTATGTTCTGCCCTTTTTACCACTTATCTGAAGCCAGCATATTCTTTTGTATTTGCTTTCTATCTGCATTTTTCCATGCCTTCACTATTCATGCTCCCCATCTCAAGAGCATTTCTAATTCTAGAGAAAAGATGTTATTAAGATAAGAGGTGAAATAAGGCACAGAAACTTGCAAAGCTGAAAAGTGAGAAATTATTACAACTAAAAATGCAATGTTTTACTGAGACAAAATATAGCACATTTAGCTTTCAAAATCCAAAAATTATGATGGGTTCTATATTTCAAAAGCATAAACATTTCTCATATAGTTTCATAGCTATATTATCATTAGACTTTCAGTTTCTTGTGAAGGATTTCGCTGAACAAAGAAATCTTCCGTTGAATTGTCCATTGGATTTTAGCCACTTTAATCTAGTTTGATTTCAGAAAGAAGCTGATTTATATTCTGGATTTCTTGACAACTTGAAGCTCAGGTGCTGGAGCAGATTTTCTTCCCCTGTTTTTATGATTGATGGTGCACTGCTCTTTATGACTTAAAAATTGTGGAATGATATGCCAGAAGAGGGGCAGCATGCCAGCATGCATACATGGTACAGTTATAGTTGATAGCCAATGTGGTCTTATATTCACTATCTATTGAATGAATCTCTAAAGCCCTCTCTGCCCTACTGAGAGAGAATTTTCCCTAAGAAAGGAACAGCCAAGCAGCACCCACTAAATATCAAAACTCTGGTTCAAAATAAAGTTTTTTGTCTCTCTGTGACATTAACTACTCCAGATACCAAGTCCCTGCATTACACTCCGAAAGCTAGACAATCACTGCCTACAATAGCTTTTCCAGCTGTTCTGAATCTGGTAAGAAATCCTGTGACTGCAATCACATCTAAACACCAGCCCCCCGGCATATTAAACTGTGCCAACACAACATTAAATATTGAACACTGACTGTTTGTTGGTTAAATGATAAGTTCATTAAGAGTAAGTAGTCTAGCTAAAATAAATCATATCTTCCACTAACAATGATTGCAGTAGTCATAGATTTGTCTACCATCTGCTGCAGAAAGCACTAATAAGGACCTATTTTTCTAGTAAATACAGTTTCATTTTTTAAAAAAATTAGAATTAGAAATTATATTTCATACTAATAAAAGCTGCCTGATGATTTCTAGAATTAAACAGAGCCTCACAACATGGTCTAATAACTTCAATATAAATGTACTCCATACCCACTATTAGGAACATTAAAGTAAACAGCAGGATATTTTTGGCAAAAGATCATGGGGTTGTTTCAACTTGCAAGATCTGAAATGTTAAAGCTATACTTTTTGTTGCTGGAAAAAAAAAATTATGTGTCAAACTTATTTCCTCTTTGCCAAAATGTTGTTATTGATTCTGATTCAGAAAAATCAGTCTGTCTCCTCGTAAGTTTTCTCTGCTTTTAAGTAGCTTTATTTTTAAACAGTACAGGAATATATTTGAGAAAACAGAGTACCTCAGTACCAGACAGATGCTCATACTACCTTCTAGCTCTGCAAACTATCTTCTATCAAATGAGAAAAGTCAATTTTATTCATCAATTTTCACCCAATTTCAGAACACTTTACTAAGGGAATCAGTGGCATTATTCTTCATTTTCCCAAAATTTCCACAGTCATGGGGAAATTGTCACATGGTGCAGAATCATCATTCATCCATGACCAACCACCAGGCCACAGCCATGTATGAGGAGTGATGCAAAGGCTGATTAAATCCCTTAACAGTCCCAGTCTGCCTGTTTCCACCGATTTCCTGCTCTCCAGGACACAGTAGGCAATTTTATCTGAACTGTGATCTGACAGGACTAGGTACTGCTGGTATGGAGAGGGAGTTTAAAAATCTACAACATTATGACAGAGGAGGATAGTCAGAAAGAAAAGGTCTTGTCCACAAAATCACCAGTGGCGCTTTATTAGGCTGTGAGCTTTAGGAACAGATGATATAAAATTTATTTACCCTGGATTGCTCCAAGGACACCATAATTAAGTGTAAACATTTTTTAATACCTTAATACATCCAGTGTGATGAAAAGAAATTTTTTACAAAAGTAGCTTAATATTTTTATGAAGAATGCCAATTTTTACATACTGTTGCTTGAACTGTATGTAAGAGCTGCACTTTCATTTGCTCTAAGTAGGACATTAAGTGTTTATGGGTTTTTTTTCTGATCAAAATCTCAATTAATTTATTTATGATATGAACATAAAAGAGCTTGATCTAGAAGATAAGAAAAAAGTTTCAATGGCTTTTACATAGAAGCCAAATATATTTATGTAAATAAATATTAATATCCATCAAGTGCAATATTTTGTAACTCACAAATATGTTCATTACCTGTCAATGGGAAAAATTTTTCAGCCAAATGGTAATGCTGCCCTATCCACTCTCCTTTAGAGACTCACCTGTTCCAGATCTTATTTCTGTGATACAGAGTCTCCTTAGCAGTATTTTTTTGTAAAGCAAACAAAAGTAAAACAATGAGTGTAAATATGCATATGTTTAGCTGCTTTCCAGATTGCAGCATAAGCTAATATAACAGTTTTCGGTAGCACAGTTCTCGTTAGTACAAATCTATTACCGCACCTTTCAACTGAGAGAAAGGTGAATTCCTCCTGAACTGTCTTCATCTGCTAGTCTGTTGTCACACTTAGAGCTCGTGTTGCCTTAAGCCAAGCAGTTTTGTACACGACTTTTCTTTCCCATCAGATCAAAATGTAATAGTTTTATCAAGTAACTTAACCCAATCTCAACAGCACCATTTCTCTGGAATCCAGAGGTGGATTGTTGGAGCTTTTTACATTACTTTCTCAGTCAGATTTTGGTGTTGGAAATTAAGGATTGACTTTCCTCATTCCATTGTCACCCATCCCAGTAGCTTTCTGAGGCTAGCATCTTTTTTGCCTTACTTCACACTCCAGCTCAGAAGATGAGCTTTAAGTAACAAACAGCTAGTTTTACAACATACACGGCAGCATCTTTGCTAAGAAAGTAAAACCTGCCCAGGTTTTCATATAGCAGCACTGACTTCAGGTGCTTGCTGCACACTGTTAGAGCAACACAGTCACTATCACCATACATCTCTATCAGGCAGGGCTGCATCTGCTCTAGAAGAAAGCAGAATAAACACAAAAAAATGGTATTGGACTGGGCAGCTGGAACTGGAAGGCATGAGTTTTATCCTGTTGCTACACTGCAGAGTGGTATACATGAGGCGTCAAATAACTTTGGATATGGCCAAACACCAGTCACTTTGCTTGGGCCAGTCTCAGGAGCAAAGCAACAGGAGAGTGGCCTCCTTGAAGATATCTTGTGAATCCATAGAGTAGCTGGAAAAAAATCTTAAGAGCACAAAGGAAGAAAGGTAAAAGCCTCAGATGAAAACTAAATACAAAGGGAGATTTGAAAGAACCAACTGAGAAATAATTATTTTAATAAAGCAGGAAGCAGAGAGACAACAATTCTTTTGTTAGACATTTACCACCCACACTCAGAGTATTTAAATTCTCAGGGAAAAAGGCAACATGCAGAGTAGAGGAACACAGTTTCAAACCACATCTATTTTAGAAATGTGCTAGCACGAACTTCATTTCTTTCCCACCACCCGTAGTTCTCCAGACCTTCCAGGGCAAATTTCTGGGATCTTCTGACAACAAAAAAGATGAGGTAGCCACTCCCAGCAAGCGTGCATAGGGCTAAGAAGTTAGCAAGAACCCTCAGGAATCTAGTCAAGTGAATATTTTCCTCTTTTCGGCTCTCCTGCTCCTCCACGATAGCTTCCTGCACTTGTTAGAAAGAAAAGAATATTATGAGTGCTTGAATGGTCAAACCCCACATTGCTTCCCCAGTTGTTAGAATTCAGTTAAATAAATTACAGACATGTGAATGCACACCTGGCCATCATGTTTTGAGATGAGCTTATATTGTCTCATAAAATCTATTTTGGACCCTGGCAGACCCTGGTATTTTGGATCCCCAGAGTTCACTTTGCATCTGTTGAGTGTGTCCCCACTGAGTCTCGTTACACTCACACTCATGTGCCAAAAAGAAACTAGCATGTTCTGTCTGCTTGCAAGGTGCTATGAGGCTGAGTGACCCAGCAGGATAAATGTGGTTTTAGCTGCCAGAAAAGGAACTGTCACACTTTAAAAATGTGCATTTTTGAGAAAAAAAGCAAAAATTTTTATTCTGAAAGTCAGCAATTCAGAAAGAACGAAAAGACAGTTTAGATGTAGAAATGCCAAAAAAGGCAAATAGTGCACAGCTTCAGACTGCAGAATAAAACATCTGTCCCACATTTACCCTTGGCCAGGACTGATAAATACTAAGACTCTGGTGTAACTATAATTTCCACTTCCTACTTTTACCAGCAGAAAGAGCTTTTGCTCTGAAGTGTCCTCATGAAAGGGAGTTTGGTTACGGCTTCTCACTGGCATAGAGAGCAGTTGCCCAGAGGGGAAGATGAACTCCTGCATTGTAATAATTACTCTGCATGGCTCTGCTTTTCTTATGACTTGTATTTGTTACATAAATGAAAGGAGATTGCAGAAGCTCTTGAGCAAAACTCCCATGACTTCACCCAAGCTAAGACTTCACCCTTTCTCTCTGAGGTTCCTTGCTCGTTTGCAAAGATCAGAGTAAAGCTTCATGAGTTTATTTCTCAAAAGTAAGTCTCTGTCTCAGCTGATTTGTATTCTTCTCCAAATATCTTTCAGCAACTTAGTAGGCAGTCAGGGAAAGCTCATACAGTTTCGGAGCTTTCAGTCAGTACTTCTTCAATATTTGTTTTCCTGGGAGCTTTTCTTTCTACTGAATTTGAATGCAGTTGTCCTTCATGCCTCCAGTTGGGAGTCTGGCCAGGCTGAGGTGGTATATTGGCTATACCACCACTGTAGAAAGGAAGGGTGTTGCGTGTGATTGGATACTGCAGTTAATGCTTGGTCCTCCAGCTCCCATGCTGTATGTTTTCAGTGTGACTGCAAGTCTACAATCTTGTTCATTACCTGGCAACACCTTGCCAATGCATTCCCTGTACTTTATTACATTGAAAATTAAGTTTTCCTTTACATGCTGTACTGGTGTGTCCCAGTGATCCCGGTGTAGAAAGACGTTCTTCAACATACCCTATAAACTGAAAAGAGGCCAAATAACACTTTGTATTGCCTTGAAATCTGGGTTATATTTCATAATTAATTTGAAAATAAAAACTTTATATTATGCAAGGAAAACAACCCTTTTTTTCTTACTGAAAAGCAAGTATACACTCAAAATTCTGAGGCCAATTCTTCTGACATGATGAATAGCCCTTTATAGATGATCCTATTGCTTTATCTTATGGTATCTTTTCAGTGTAGCAAGGGAAGATGATAATGTGAGGTTGGCAAAATGTCACCAACATTTAAAAAAAATTTTTCAGACAAGCATCATAGAAACTGGAATCCATCAGAGATGAGAAAAAGGAAAATATTATTTTTACAGTAGAATAATTTTTCTAAAACTAGTACTGCAGTCACAGAGGACACAAAAGATGCCATTAATGCTTTTTCTTCCACAATCAAAAGGAAAAAAATAAGATGCCAAAGCACAAAGACACAGACTTAGCAGGATATAGATCTGCCAATTCTAGTTTAAGTTTCTAGGCCCCAGGCACAGCTAATACTTGACCTTAGTTCCATCTGATTCACACCAGTGTGAAAGACAAATCAGGTTACCTCTCCTTAGTGAGTTCTGTTTTACCTTAAAGCTTGTTGTGATGGAGGCAAACTTATTATCGGCTGTCTCAGGATTGCCAATCAGGTAGTCCCAGCTTGTAAACATTTTCCAGCTGAAATTAAAACTAGTATCATCCCCACCACCTTCTTCATTTGCATTCTTTGCCATTCTACAAAAGCCAGAAAGACACAGGAAGACCTTGTTAGAACTAGTTCTGCTATGTGAGCATGATTTTTAAATTGTTCCTAAATTCTAACATTGTTCAGAAAAAATGTATATTATTATTGCAGTCAGACATGTTATACTAAATCTGGAAAGTTCAGTCTGAAACAAGAGAGAAGGACGGAGATTTTCATATTTAGACAATTTATAAGCTCACAACACACATTTTGATGAGAACGAATGAATTTGTTTCATTAACACCTCAGAGAAACTCTGCTGGATAAGAAACTCAATAGGAAAAAAATATCAAGATCTCTCAAATAGAAAGCTGCAGAGAATCCTGAACTGCAATAGATTTTATTAGAGACTTCACAAATAGAAGAAAAGAATTCTAAAATAACAAGCCAGAACAAAACCTGGTTATACCATATGAAAGTATCATTAGTATAGCTTTCTATCTTCCCTTTCATCTCCTATGCACTTATAAACAAGATTTATAACAGTATCCAGAAACATCAAATTATTTCTTCAGTGATTTGACTTAATCTTGACTACTAACTTCTCTATTTCCAAGTGTTGTCATTCATGCAATAATAGTGGTCTTGCTTCTGCATACTTTATCACTTAATTCAAATCATTAAGCACAAGGATGGAGTATATCAGTAGGGTACAAATCATTTAGCCTTCCGTATTGTATCGATTTCTTGGTCAGGAAAAAGCAATGTCTATTTTAAAGCTCACTAATGCAGCAGAGTTATGTTATTAATATCAATACATTCTACAGATCACATTTTTAGTAGTCCAGTAAAATACGTACTCTCAAATCTCAGAAGAGAATAGTAAGTAAATAATACAGAAAATCCTTCTGAGCTGTCATAAACCAATACCAGTGTTGTTTTTTTTTTGTTTTGCTCCTCATATACAGAAGGGACAGAGATCATGAAAGGTTCTTGGTGGGATCTGCCCTGCTGCTGGTTTCTAGACTAAGATAATTCCTTCTCAAGAGTTCCCAACGAAATAGTGAACAGTCTTGTGGTTGGGATATCATTTCTTTGAGACCAGTAATGTTTCCATTTTATGTTATGGACTGGAAGAGCTGAGGAGAGAAGCCTAAATCTAAATATTTCCCCTAAATAGAATAATAGTGCTTATAATCCTCGCTGCCTCTTTCACATAAACATTCCCTTTCCCAGATCTCAGTCAACAACAGAAAAATGGTAACAGCTCCTGTTACACTGCTTTTAGTTTCCGTGTTGCTTTCTGGAGAAACAGCAAAGGGCAGAAGACTGCAAGATCTGCTTATAAGATTACCTGAATATTAATCAACATTAGTGTCATGCGGCCAAATGGGAAGTTAGCACGTACAGTGTATTTTTTCCTCAAAGATATTCCTTTGTTTGGGCCACAGGGATTTTCTGCTAGAAGGAATTTTTTTTTTCTTTTTTTCAGGGTGACAGTCATTGAAATACAGTTGTCTAAGATTAAGACTTTCCTAATCTTCACACCTACATTATCAAAAATATTTAAAAATATATTTTCAAGCTAAACCAATTACTTTTTTATCATAGTAGTTTGTTCCTCCTCCAAAAATACATATATGTAACTGAAGACTTTTTTTGTTCCTTCCAAAATGCTTCTTGTCCTATGCAGGAAACCATGTAATATTTGAAAAATAGTGCTCATGCAAGTGAAAAATACTGACTTCAGCACAAAACAGTGGAAATAGATTAACTGCAGTTCTCTCTATGTTCATGAGTGCCCTTGAATCTTGATCTGCAATGCTCTGATTTTTTTCACCATAGGCATCTTTTAAAGCCACCACTATAGCTAACTGTATTATTGTGGTAGGTGGTCACCTTGCTTGAATCAAGAGTATTAAAGATTATATTCATTAGCAGCCTATCTCCTTAGAAACTACCAGAATTATCACAGTTTATTCCAATAGTCAATCTGACTATAAAATAATAATTTCATTTCATTTAAATTCTGATCCTAAGACAAAATTCAAGTCCGGAATTTGAGATCCAAAAGGCTAATGTTATCACCAGCTGTACCACCTAGGACCTGTTTCACTTACCCTTATGCTTCCTACTGTTTCAACATTATGTTCTTAACATTATATTAAGCATAGTTTTCACACTGCTGGAGAATATTTTGCATTCCACAGAACATTAAACTCTTACTGTGGCCAGTAGCATTAATTCTACACCACTGTGCACTATAGTCTTTTACTGCTGACTGTGAGTTACACACAGAATTATTTGCCATATGTTTCTTTCTTTCTTGTCTCCTTCCTTCATAAAAGGATAAATCCCATAAGGTATCATTAAAGGTAGAACAACTGATTTCCTAGATGTTAGCTGACATTCTGCTAGATGCAGAGTATTATGAAAAGATGGGCTGACAGCTCTGTTTCTTACTTTATGCATTCATTTTTTCATTTTGAAGTTGCAGGTAGGAAGTGTTATGTTATTTCAGTAAAGATTTTTTCCCATTTCCACAACACTACAACACAGCTGCTGGTGCAGGAAAATAGATACAGGCTGAAGAAATCTTACATGGCTTTGACCTTGCATTCAATTTTGCATTGTCCTGCCTTTACAATTATCATATTTTTAAAAAGATAGTCTCAGTGGTCAACAGTGGAATTATCTGCCTTTTTCAATGTACTTTATTCCAGAGTCAAGGAGAACTTACGTTCGAATGACAATCATGAAGCTGTAGCCAATAGTCCCAACTCCAACAAGGAAATACGAAAGAGGCATCCTGAACTTGAGCCATCCAATTGTCCTCTGGTTATTGTAATAACCATAAAAGAGTACAGAATACTGTGCAAAGCCCTGAAAAGCCAGCAAAAATTATAATGTTACATCTGTTAAATATGCTTGTATTCAGAAATTGTACCAATAGCAATGTACTGAAACATTCATTTAAATGCATTCAAAATAGTTATAAGCATCACTGTATTAAATCTCACAGGATGTAAAATCTCTCATTTCATTTAAAAAGATTTAGAATATTTCACATCAACTTTCAAATCTTTTATCTTTAAAACTCTTCATGGCCACTCCATCTGTGATTTAATGAGCCAAAACTTTTTTATCCACACACTTCTTGCTGTAAATACAAAAACATTTCAGTTTACAAAATTTGTTTTACAAATTACTTGCAGATAAAATGCCAGATTTTAACTTAATTTTCACATTTGTAAAATTTACTTGCATAGCCTATTTGATATAAAATTCTTATATGCCTTCTCTGCCTAGCAATGTTGTCTACTGTTCATTAGGTGATCATTCAATATATGTTAACCAATAGTGCATTTTATGGATGATTATTCATTATGCAGGGGTTTTTAACACTTAGACTCCAAGGCTGTAAAAAGTGCAATGTAAGTGTACCTTCTTTCTCAGCAGTTCAAAGGGTATCTCCTTTTCTAAAAATCTTAATGACAATTACCCTCTCTTTTATGGGTTGGATTGCTGATTTGTCAAAATAATTTACTAGTACTTTATTAACTGTAAGCAATTGCTTATATCGAAAATGATCCAAATAGCTAAAGCTTCCCGATAATCCTCAGGTTAGAGCAAGAACTCACCTCCTAGAAGAAGACTGTATCCAGAGCTTTTACAAGGACAGCTCAGCACATGCACAGCAGAGGCAAAGCTCCAGCTGGATGTAATGATTCCAAGTCAAATACAGAGTATTTGACCATGTAATTGGTGGAGAGACCATGCATTATTTTGACACTAATACAGTCAGATGAGGGGTTTGTGAATTTAAAAAGCCATTTACTTCCCTTCTGCTTTTCAGTTGCTCATTTTACTTAAAATAAATAACATCTTTCTCTCATATATTACTGCAAAACATGCACTTAATTTATTGTAGCTTTTACTATATATACAAAATGAGTCACAGAGTTATCTGGAAAAAACTAATTTGCAATTCTAAGCTGAAAATGAAATATTAATATATGATAAACAGAAATATTATTAAAAATGTCTTGATTTGGTAATCAACATATCTCATTTTTCTTCATATCAGACTAGCTTTGAAAGATGTGCCTACACATAACAGACAGTAGTATGTTCTTCCTTATAAGGGAAATATTGTTATAGAACACATTTATTACTAATTACTAGTTAAACATCTACACCAGTCAGGACACGTTCAAATTCAATAGTATGTCTTTTTCACCTTTTTGCTTATTAAAGCATCCTATAATTCCATTTTAGACCAGGTTTCAATACAGCCTAATGAGGCTCTGGAGATCCTTTTGGATCCCTCAGATTATTAAAATGCTTTTTAAGTCACTGTGTTCTGCAAAGTCAGAGATAATTCCTCCAATGTGTGTCATTTCTTAGTGTTTCGTGAGCTTTGCCTACTGCATTTCACCATGAGACTTGAAACATCTTTAGCTGTGTAAAGGCAAGAATGCATGGAAGATCTCTTTCACTCCTTTCTAAGCCTAACATAAAAGAGAGGTGAGATAAGATTAATGGTCAAATGCTTTATTGTAATGAGACTTGAGAGGCATTTTTTTTAGGTTTGAATTATTATCTGGACTGTAAAATATACAAATGTTAAAACTGAATTCCAAGTAAAATATATCAAAATCCAAAACTGTTTCCCTTTGCCATGTCAGTAGAATTAATAGAATTTCAAGCACGCAAAACCAAAAGATATGTTCAGCTCATCTTTTCTTTGCTGTCTTAAAGATTGGTGGGGCTTGGGCGGTTTTTTTAGGGTGAGAAAACATTTGCTGGTGTGAGTTCATTTACTTGTAACTTACCTAGTAACATACAAGAACTGATAGCAGATAAAAGGTACTATTTCCTGTACTGTTTAATTAAAGACGTCATTGTCTTCAGGGATATTCATCAATCTGACATGCCTCAAGAAAATTCTCTTTTCCCCTCAATATTTCAGGGGATCCATCTCTTTCACTTCCCTATTCTGTGTTTATTACCTTTGCATTTGCTCCTTGTGTTAACTGCTATACCTTATTCTTCAGAGCTGTCAGATCCTGTTTCTGCCAGTTATTATAAACTTCTCCTCTCTTTCCACCATCTGTCTTCATTCATCTTTTCTCAGATACATTTCTTTTAAAAACTTCGTTCCCATTTGCTGCATAAAGCTCTTCTAGTCTCTATTGTTTTTACAAAATCTCCAAGTTACCATGATTCCTTTTTCTCCAATATCTCCCTGATGTTTTAATTTCTCATTTTATAATGTCATCATCATTATCTAACGTCCCAGCTACATGTCTAGATGTATTCTTCCTGTCACTCAAATATACAACTCCTGATGAACCAGACTCAACATCATCTTATGCAGCAGTCATTGCAAAATTTACATATGTGTTTTTTTAGAAAGATCTTTCTATCCTTTTGTATCTAAGGAGGTTCCATCACTTTATGTGGTGAACTAAAGCAGAATTAATCTGTTCACTTTTGTCATGGTTTAATCCCAGCCAGCAACTAAGCACCACACAG